TTTTTCTCGTTTAGCAGGGGTCTGGGCGCTCTTCGAGTTTTCTGTTTAGCTACTATTCTTAACGTAGAGTAGCGAGCCTATTCTAAATAGCTTCTTAAAGCCTCTCTACTAGCTAGGGGCTAAAAGCTAGTCGGTTTTATCCACGATTAACAATATTATTAAGAATATCGTTAATAGGCAACGATAGATTATCTCCCTCGACTATAGGCTCTTTAGTAGGTCCTTTAGTAGGCTCTATACCGCTAGCGTTATCGTTGCTAGCGCTACTAGAGGCGCCGCGGTTGTTATTGCTATTATTAGTGCTTCGTAATAAGCCGGCTATTATAAGAGGTAGTACTAATAATATATTATAGGCCCCTTATAGTACAGATATAGCGGAATTAGTAGGTATAGGTCTAGTGTAATCGACTTAGTATAATAGGCCGTATAGAAGGCCTTGCTTAATAATTAGTACGGTTCTCCTAGTAGAATAGTACGTATAGGTCCCGTTCTCGGGCGCAATATAGTTAGATTAGTAATTTTCGTAGCTATACCGCTAAAGGCTTAAAATAAGGACTATCTAGCTACTAGCTTTAAAGGGTAGATCGAATACTATATAATAGGGGTTATATTAGTAGGTAGATACTAGATAGGGTAGTAGTTAGTATAAGTAGTATTCGATAAGGATCTAGGAGGAGAGGGAGGAGGGTAGGCAAGTTAGCCTAATACTAAGCGCTAAGCCCTACCTAAGGCATTAAGACCCTAGCTTTACTCGGCCTAGTTATATACTAATTATATATAGCCTCTTTAGCCCTAATAACCTACTATCTAGAAGTTACTATCTAACGATAGGCTTAGCGGGACCCGGTAAGGTTAATAGGTAATTAATCTATCTCCTCTTTAGGCTACTAGTCCGCGTTACTATCTTGCAACCGGGCCGGTAGGCGGTAGCTTATCTCGAGTAAGCGGTACTAAATAGGTCTTCGACCTGGAGCCGAGTCCTTAGAAACTAGCTATAGTCGTAGAATAGGCCCTAACTTCTAAGCTATAACAGTCCTAAGGGTTTGTAGCTTTTCGGGGTTAAAGAGATACCCTTATTAAGAGGTTCTTTGCTTATCGTAATAGCCCCTTAGGATACTTCTATATCGTCTATATCGTAGGCTCTTATCGTGCCCTCGCTTCGGTTATAGCTATTCGTACCCTAAGACTACCTTTAATATACCTATACCTATTAGATATAAAGAGATAGCCCTACCTTCGGCTCTAATATAGGTTACCGAGGGTAATATAACCTATAATAATATAGGCAGCTATATTTAGTAAGATAGGATAATAAATATATAGCTTAGGCTAGTAACTAGAGCCCTATAATATAGGCACTATAGAAGTGTAATGTAAATAGTATACTATACGAGGTTAATAATCTGTCTATACTATAGAAGGAGGCCTCTTTTATAGGCTTAATGCCTAGCCTATAGGTATAGGGCCGGTTACTAGCTAATAATATATAGTATAGAGCTATTATAGAAAGAGAATAAAAGACAAATAAAAGATAAATAAAAGACAAATAAATAATACTATTAGAGGATATATAAAAGGTATATAATCTACGAAGTAAGGCTAGGGTCTTAGTACCTTAGGTAGGGCTTAGCGCTTAGCGCTATTCTAACTTCCTAAACTTCCTCTCCCTCCTCTATAGACTCTATCGAATACTATACGCTTTTAACTATACTATCTACCTATCTATATAACCTATACTATAGATATATAGAAGAGTATATATAAACAAATATATAAAAGATTAGATATATAGAAGATATATAAAAGAATCTCGTTATTATACGAAGCTAGACTAGGTTTGTAATTTTTCGATACGAAGGCTATCGTACTAATAGGAGCTACTAGGCGATTTTTGCTATATAACTTTATTGGGATTAGAACTAAAGGGTATAAGGTTAAGATCTAGCCTATAAGGAGTATAGCACTTACGGATATTAGTAAGATATCCTACTCTAGGAACGTTAAGGACTAATAAAGTATCTGCTATATCGCAAGGGGAGTAGTTAGCTTTAATATCTTCGCAAATACCGGCGATATCGACGGATAAAATATAACGAGACCTATCTCTACTTAGACTAGTAATAAAGGGTTGTTAGTATATCTATATAATAACTTAGCTTAGCTACTATAAGCTACTATAGAAATAAACTCCCGTATAGACTATATAATACCCTTTATTACTAGTCTAATTTGCTTCTATCGGGATTTCCAATTTAGTACGCGTATATAGATAAAGCGACCTAAATTTTTTTCGAAGAAAGAATACGTAATACCTAAACCGAAATTCGAAAATCCGCTATAGTAGCGACCTAGATAAATACTTTATATATACTAATTACTATTTTTTATTCCTTAGACGATAGCCCTAGTTTAGGAAAATCGAATGTAATCTAAAAACTAAACGCGCTCGGCTATATAGAAGGCTACTCTATACCGCGACGACCGCGACGATAAGAATATATACTATTTAGACCGTAATTTAAAAAAGTACTACCGGGCGGGCCTAGATAATTATATTATCTAGGGCTGCTACTATATATTATATGTTAATTTATCTCCCTCGACGAGTGCTTCCTTAAGAGGGGAAAATCTATATAAATAGCTAAAATACGATAGAAACGGCCTAGATAGTAATCTAAACGCTAATTAGCTATACGCTACACCTTAGCTACATACTATGCTACATATACACATATATACTAAAATACTACCTACCTATACACCCTCAAATAATCCTATCTCTAGTCTAGTCTCGAGATAGTGACGAGACGACATCTTGTTGATGTCTGTTTCATGCCGCGTCCTGCCGATATCGGTTATACAAAAGCTTCCACGTCGAGCGGGGCAGGTGTGGCTGCCGCTCATTAAATAATGTCTCAAGCAAGTCATGCCAATGCAAGTGTTAAGAGGCCCTAGTGGTGTAGGGAAGAACTGCTTTGCTAGACATCGCAACATTAACTTCACTTGCTGAATATAGGGCGATACCATAATGGCACTCCTTTCCCCAATCAATTCATCGACACTGAGAGATGCTTGTTGTAAGCAGCGATCTGTTCATCTCCACGTATCGCTTTGCGTTGCCGACCCGGCACAATTCTTAGGCACAGTATACGACCTGTTCGGGTCGCTCTCCCACCTTACGCTGCCGTCTGTCTCCTTCCTGAGGTACTTGTACATAAAGCTTTGTCCGACCGGTAATTGCACAGTCACAAACCAAAGATTGTTGGTGCTGGTATAGTTCTTAGCACTAAGAGCGACAGCGTTGTCCGGACTCCAGTTGCCGAGCTGAGAGATGCTTCCAGAAATAAAGACATTCTCGCCATAGGTTGTCGTTGCTGTCTCTTCGAATAATACATTGGTAAGCGTCGGAGTGGCACTGCAGCTGGCTGTAGTCGAAGTCGGCGAAGGGCGAGCCTGATCTTGGAAAGGTCGCAGTGGCTGCTGTGCAAGTGCCGGTGGCAGAGCCTCCAGAGCATGCGTTTGGGACTGAGAGCTTGGCTGCACCCCAAGAGGCTGGCATAGCTGCTTTGCGAGCGTTGAAAGCTGTCAGGAAGGCGGAATATGACCACGTTAGGTCTCCAGCAGAGAGCGGGCTGCCGTTTGAGCGGGAGTACTGCTCTGCAAGGGCTCCACCTTGTGGAGTGTATTGTTGCTAAGATCTCCTATCAGTACGCACTCGCACTGGCTAGTCTTGGGAACTCACAGCCTTGGACATGTAGCTGTCCGCATAGACCCCTACTGCGGTAATGATAGAGTTGAATGTAGAGGTCGAAGACGAAAAAGTGCCGGTGGTAGCTGCCACATAAACGTCCTTGAAAAATGGTAGCGAGGTTGCTGTGATAGTTATAGATCCTGCTTTCTTCCACTGATACACGGCATCGTAAAGCTGCTCAGCTGCAGCAAATGTATTCAAGCTGCAGCAATGTTAGTCAATGAAACGTAGTATCTGACCAAGGTCTTGACTCACTACCATGGGTTTCCGCCTTGATAGGAGTCCTCTTGGTACCTTCCTACGGCGACGCCTTTTCCAGCGGCGATTCCGCTGTTGATCGAGTATATGGACCTAAACGAGTCTGTGACTTGTTTGTGATTGGCCAAAGCCTTATCGCTACATGGTTGGAACGTGTTGGAGTTGCATCCCGTCGATGAGTCGAAGAGGTGGATAGAAGCCAGGACTGGATTCGCGTCTTTGCCCGAGCGACCACCACCAGTATTTGATAGCACATACGAGCCTGTCCAAAAGCTTTGCAAGAAGCACAGTACTTGCGGCGCCTGAGAGTCACAGCCTTGGCATTGTTTGCCAATCTGAGCAGCCAGCGCGCTGCCCTCAATTAAAGCACGATACTGCGCTGCGGTCGTGAAGAATGAAGAGCTGTTGACTTCTTCCCAAAGATCGAACCCAGTCTGGTTCCAATACTGGCTGACATAGCTCAAGTCGTTCTGAACAACGGGCCAGATGATGTTCGTGACATTAGCTGTATCGCCTTTGCCGAGCAAATATCGGGCATAGGCGATCAACGCTGTTGCACGCAGAGCAGGGCCATCGCGTTGAGGTCTGCCCCAGGAGCCAGTGAATGGCGTGCCATCTACATTGAACTTTGGCTCCCCGAGACCGCCAGAGCACAAGCCGCCTGATGGGTTATTGACAGTCTGAAGATGCACTTGGGCATTGATGTAGTCCTGGATGGTGGTCTCCAAGCTCGATGGTCCTCCAGAAAGGAATTGGTCGATCAGACATTTGATCGTCAATGCCGCATCGCGTGTCCTAGATTGTCAGTATATGATTCTGCTTTCAGACCTCGGAAATATCGATACCAAGTATAGAAGTAATCGGGATTGCTCTTCGATGGAGAAGCTACAATAATGCCGGCGCTGGCACCTGAGACTTTCGAACCAGAGGATCCTATATTGTTGAGAATACCTTGTAGTGCGATGGGGCCCTCAGCAGCCAGCCAGGACTCGAGGGTCCCCGTGGCTCGTGGTCCCAGTGCCTCTTGGTATGGATATGAAAATGCAGATCCCAGAAAGGGAAGCAAGCTCAGTAGAGAAAGCATGATCAACAGTACTTTGCTGTTTGAAGTGAGAAGGCTTGAACTCATCATCATCGGAGCGGCCGAAGACAGCATTTTGACTTCTTCTCCGATTCGCTTGCTACGCCTTCACAAGATACGTTCGTTAGAGTGGTCGATAATGGCCTGCTCCTCGGCGACACATGTCAAACTTTACCAGGAAGCTGCAGCGCCGTCCCGTCTTGCTTGCCCATTCGGTGTGTGTTCATCTTGCCTAGCAGAATTGTGTTTGTCTCAGCTAGGCAGCTGGCTTTGCGGTTCGCGGTATGCTTCTGCGCGATGTCACGGTGAACGGAGTACGCAGGCGGAGACGGTCACATGCACCACCCACGAACTCAAAATCTGCTATCCTAGCGATCACCCGTGCTTCTTGCATTATTATTATCTTCACTTGCTTATGCTGTCGCGTTGTCTGTGTATTCTAGTACTAAAAGATTCTAGATTCTAGGAATTTCCTTATATAACTTAGGATACTCGCCTTAAACTATAACGCTAGAATATAGAATAGAATCTACTACTAGTATACTAACTGCTATATCCTATATTAAGGAACTTAAGGTTAAGAGGACTAGGATATCGCATTTTCTAGAGATATATACTAGATATATAGTATAGAGCTATTATAAAAAAAGACAAGTAAAAGATAAGTAAAAGATAAGTAAAAGATAAGTAAAAGATAAGTAAAAGATAAGTAAAAGATAAGTAAAAGATAAGTAAAAGATAAATAAAAGATAAATAAAAAATTCTTAACCTTAACTTAATACGTAGTAACTTATAGCTTACCCCTTCTACTATCTAGTTACCGGTAAAGCAAAAGGATTATACTAAGAAATAAAAGGCATAGTATAAGCCTTTACCTCTTTAGGCTATAACCTCTACTTCTACCTCTATTTAGGCGCCTACTTTATAGGCTTATATATACCTTCTACCTTCTACCTTCTATCTATTCTATTCTTATATTATCTTCTATACTAGGATATATCTAGTTAGCGGTCCCTACTAAGCCTATAGCGAAGCGCCTAAAGATAAATCGCTCGACTTCTATATAACCGTCTACTATAAAAACGAGAATTTAATTATATAGATAGATAGATATTTCATTTGCCTGTTGTAGTGCCTTTCGGCCTATGTAGGTCTGTTTCTATGTATTGTTTTAGGTAGGAAACTAACTTAGTTGGTAAAAACCTCCCTCCTGTCCTATTTATAAGTGTTGATCTTCCTTGTTTCCTTATTCTCCTTCCTCTAGGGTATACTAGTATTATAGTTGTTACCCTCTGACTACCTTGCCTACTACCCTGCCCTTCTTTCCCTCTCTTCTTCCCTCCTTCTTATCTACTCCTTAGTTTCCCTTGCTAGTACGAATTGTTATACAAATCCCTGTTTGATAATCCACTTTACTATCCTCTTTAGGTCTTCTTTGCTCTAGATTAGCTTGTCGTATTCCCTTTCTATTGCTTTTAGTCTCTAATTACTTCTGCCTTCTAACTATTAAGGGCAGACTAGCAGTATATACTTAGGGTTCTAAGATTGGTAGCTATATTAGCAAGCCCTGCTTTCAATTCCTAGGACGTTTCTTCTAAATAGGTAAGATCTGAATCCGATGTGTTTAGATCTGATTTGGATAGCTAGGCTTACCTCGGCCCTATTTAGGTCCTTATAGAGCTAGTAGTTGTATTGACTAAATTTGATTAGTGCCTTTAGGGTTCCTAGTCTAACTTGTGTTTTGTTCTATTCCTGCTCTTATAGGTATCTAGCAATTGATTCTACTAGGCTTTGTTTCTCTCCCTTTAGTTTGTCTTCCTTTAGCCTTATATTTAGTCCCTAAAGCTCTTTCTCTAGCATTTCTCTTGTTAAGACTCTATATTGCTCTAGGTCTTTAACTTTTTAGGGAGTTATTTGTAGTCTGTCTCGCCTCCTAGTCCTAATATACTAGGCTTTTATCTTGTCTAGTGCCTTTTAGATAGTCTATTAGGCTAGGTATTCTATTGTCTTTGCTATATATTGGTGTCTTAGTCCCTTGAAGTATTGTTTAACTAGTAGGATCCCTAATTCCATTTCCACTACCCTTATTAGTATAGTTTTATATGCTCCTAGGATTTTCTTTAGGCTTTAGGTTTAGGACCTGCTAACTAGTTATTCAATCCTCTTTAGTGTTTTCTCCTAGGCTGTCTATATCTATACTCTATATAGCATTACTAGCTTAACAATTGCTTTGTATATAACTTTAGCTTTCTCGAATATAGCCCCCTATATAGAGGCTATAAGCCTATTAATGGATTGTATATTAGTATCTGCCCTCTACTTTGCCTTCTTTACTTATAGTCCCTAATTCAGTTTTGGATCTAGCTAGATCCCTAGTACCCTAAGCTCTGCTAATAGTTGGGTTTTAAAGCCTTAGATAGTGATTGATTGCTTTATATTGTAAGTTGATTTAGCCTTACTAAAGTGGATAAGCTAGTACTTTTCTAGGGCGAATTTTGCTCTATACCTCCTTACCTATTTTTTATACTCCTAGTGCTTCTCTTCTAGGATCTTGCAGTTGGTTTCTATTGTCTTAGACTAGGCTAGGATGTTCGTATTATCTATAAACCCTAATGCTAATATGTTTTTTAATTCTAGGAGTAGGAGTAGGTCTGCTATAAAGATAAGGAAGAGGATTAGGGAGAGTATTAATCCTTAGGGGATTCCCTTTTTAGTTAGTATTGGGTCTAATTTGAATTTGCCTAGAATAAGCTATATTGATCTTTCCTATAAGAAGGACTAGATGAATTGGACTATCCAGTTTAGTATAGCTTTCTATTTAAGTATATATAGGAGCCTTTTATAGGAGATATTGTTAAAGGCTCCTAAGATGTTAAGGGAGAGGAGGGTTACTACCTAGTTTTAACTATAGGACTAGATATGCTTAATCTGTTCTATAATTAGTTCTATAGCTGTTAGTATTAACCTCTTCTTTCTTCCTCCTATCTAGCCTTTAGGAAGGATATTCCTTTCCTCGGTAAAGGTTATTAGCCTTTTAGCGATAATTTTTTCTAGTACCTTGCCTATTATGTTAAGTAGGGCTATTAGTCTATAGGCCTTAAGCTATATATAGTCTTCCTTCTAGGGCTTCCTTAGCACTACTGTTAGGGACTTCCTAAATAGTCTTAGGTAGTGTCCTAGTGCTAGGCTTTATAAAAAGATATTAGCTAGTACTAGGGCTAGCCCCTTCCTATATGCTTTTAGAAGTTTGTTATAGATCTTGTCTTCTCCTAGTGCCTTATTGCCTAGAATTTTCTTTAGGATCCTTTTAATGGTTTCGGGTTTGACCTAGGTATCTCTTAGTATGCCTAGTAGTAGAGTCTCTTATTCTATCTCCCTTATGTCTAATAGGTCTACTTATACTTTTCTATAGAAGAAGTATTAGCCTAGGGCTCTTGCTTTCCCTTCTATTGTAGTCTGCATTTGTCCTTATTGGTCCTTAATGTCCGGGAATTGTAGTAGCATGTTCTTATCCTGTTTAGGTCTCCTTGCCTATTTAGCTATCCTCTATATCTCCTCTAGTTTCTTTGTAATTATTCCTATTATAGATCTCTATTCTTGTATCTTATCTTTCTTAATCTAGATCTTCTTTTCCTAGTAGGCTTTATTGTAGTTGTTCTATGCTTCCTAGGTATAGGTTTGTGTCTACTGCCTCCTAGCCTTCCTTGCTACTTTAACCTTCCTTGTATACTTACTAGTCTAGTATAGTTGCTAGTATAGTAAATGTTTCTTTACTAGGGTATGCTTTCTAGCTACCTGTTTTAGGATTCCTATTAGTTCTTCTACTGCTTTATTAATGTCCTCTAGCCTTAGTAGGTACTTTATTAAGAGTTCCTCTAGTTTTAGGTCCCTTTCTAGTTCCTCCCTAATCCTGCCCTATTAGGCACCCTTCTAGTTGAGCTTCTCCTTTAGTTCCCTTTCCTAATTAGCTTAGACATTCAGCTCAATCTGTACCGGGAAGTGGTCTAATAATTCTTCTAGTTCCTAGTTGATCCTGTATCTTATAATCCTATTCCTAATCTAATGTAATGTAAAGTATAGGTCTAGTATACTACTGCTTCCTCTTGCCTCCTAAGTAATTAGTCCCTTTAGGGTAACAATTTCTATTTCTTCCCTCTCTAATATATTAATCAGTCTTCCTACTAGGAAGTAGTAAGCTAGGGTAAAGTCTAAGCCCTAGAAGGGGTAGTAGAGGTTGAAATCCCTAAGTAGGATTTAGTAGGTGTTTCCCTAGATAACTCTAGGTAGTCTTTCTAGGGTTTTTAGTTAGGTACTGCTTCTTAAGTCTAGTAGTAGGTTGTATATATAGTAGACTTAGAGTGTACCTTAGGATGTCTCTACTTAAACTAATATTAGGTCCCTATCCTCCTATAGTAGAGCCTACTAGGTTTCTATATCTATCTCCTTACTAATGTAGATGCATGTCCTTAGGGCCCCCTAGTTGTAGATAATTAGGTAGTATCTTAGGTCTTTAACTGTTGCTAGTCTCTTTATATATAGGTTGAGCTAGGGCTCCTAGATTGCAATAATATAATATTCTTTTAGGTTTAGTGCTTAAAGGAAGCTCCTCTGTACCTTATCTTTGCTCTTGTTAATATTATACTATATAATGTTTAGTAATGTTGCAATGTTTATTAGGTTTTATCTATATTATTTCCCTATAAGTTTTCCTTTAGTCTTCCCTTACTTTAGACTAACATTTAACTAAGCTTTATCTGCCCTACTTCCTTTCCTATAATATTAAGGTATCTTGGTCTCCCTAGCTGCTAGTGACTCTCTTATGCTAGTAAGGCCCTAAATGTGAACCCCTTATCTTGTCTGGACCTCTTTTATAGCACTTAGCTAGGTTGCTTCTATACCTAGCTGCCCTAGCTTGTTATATATCTTTTTGGTGTATTAATTCTAGCTTCCTTTGCCTTCCTCGCTGCCTATATTCTTACTAGGCATTCCTTCGCCTAAGAGGGGTGTCTTTTAGTATAGTATATATATCTTGCTTCTCCCTTATATACTTTGCATTCTTTAACCTAGTAATCTCCTATATAATAGGAGCAGGTATTGGTTGTCTTTGTACACTTAGCTACTAAGTGTCTATAGTATTGATATTTGAAGCACTGCATTATCCTATAGTTGCTTCTATATATCTCTGTTTCTAATCTCTTATAGTCCTAGAACAACCCCTAGTCTAGTA